GCGATCTTCACCACATAACCCCTGGTATGCACCATGCTAACGGCTAGGTGGAAAGGTATATGCGTACCGTGCTTAACATGGTTAGGGTAGAGACCAACTACAGGAACACATCGTGAGCTGATACTCTGTGGAAACTGCAGCTCGTTATTAATATAACGAAGCACAAAACTACTCGGACATCACCGCTGAATCTTGTCATAGGAACTGAAGCGACGACCCCAGTCATCCGTGCCCTTGTGCGTGATGTGGCCATCGAAAGCCCAACCGTGAAGCACTTAGAGAGCTTTATAGGAGCAGAGCCCGACAACTTCTGGACCGAAATCGTTCCGAGCAGGACAACCGGGTAAACGAAAACCACGGGAGTTTCATAGTGGTGACTTTGTTTTTGTAATCAAAACTGCTCAGTCGACAGGTAAACTAGATTCGGGAATGCGAGGACCTTATAAGGTCGTGAACATTCTCCCCTGCGGCCGGTACGAGTTGAAACTTGTCAGCGGGGACTACGGGAAGACGACGCAAGCCGCGGCTTAGCACATGGTGCCATGGCGTGGCGAGTGGTCTCCAGAAGCGTGTGCTGCATTTTTTGACTGTGAGTATATGTTCGTAGCGAGTTATATCGCTAGGCGAACGCGGGCGTTGAAATACTGTCAAGTCGCTATTTTGTTCGTAGTGGGTTTCCCGCTAGTCGCCATAGGCGTTGAAGTATTTTCAAGTCGCTCTTTTGTAAGTTCGTAGTGAGTTATCTCGGTAGGCGAACTTGGGCGTTGGCACATTGTCAAGTCGCCGTTTACTAACGAAGGCGTTAGCACATGCGTCCAAGTCGTCCTGATGTTAACAACTCGTTGTTAAGTCATTAGAGCGTTGGAGCTGTGCTAAGTCGTATTGGCGTTAGTTTGTCAAGTCGAGTGTATCGTTGGTATTTGATACCAAGTCGTGCATCACGTTGACAGATAATTAGCCATAGCGTTAGATTCGCTAGGCAGGTGTCTGTGGATGGGTAAAAGGGTATGTTAGGGCCCTGTTAATGATTCAAATGTATTCTAGATGAAGCAGACACCTTGGAGTCCACTCAGTCGTCAACGTCGACATTGCCTCCTGGCGATGATGACCGCACTGATGACATCCCACCTGCTGCGCTGTCTCCGTGTTACGCGGATGAGGTCGTCAACCCGCCACCATCTACGAGCGCTACGGCTTGATTGTCGATGCCATCACTGTACTAAGTCACGTCTTGGACGCCTCAACGGTATGCAGCCCAGGATCGAGGACGACCAGCTGTCAGGAGAGGCCGTATTAGATGTACCCCACTCTACGAATACACTATGCAGTGCGAACCTATAAAAACACGGTACCCGCCTATGTTCGCTCTCTTGCTGTTCGGGCAGCACTTTGGTAAGGTCGTGTCTTGATAGGTCGTGCGTTCGTGATGCATAGGTCTGCCATATTTTCTCGATTATTTAGTTGTTTAATTTATTTCGTTATTGATTTATTGTTGATCTCTTATGTGTTTAGTGAATTACCTGTAATCTTATTTCTAATTAATATACTCGTTGGATGTGATATGTATACTTGTTTAGTTTCTTTTTTTTTATTGTTATGAGATAATTAAAGGACTGAGGTTAGCCTACCTCCAATTTGTTTTTTTTATTAATCCTCACTCTTGGTTTCTAAAAATAAAATAATTTACCCAACCCCTAACGAAGTTCCTACAATATTGAAAGATAATCATGATTTGCCTATCGGCGGACATATTGGTTCATCGCGGTTATATAATAAATTAAAGGAATCTTACTACTGGAAAGGTATGAAAAATGATATTGAATCGTATATTAAACGCTGTCCACTTTGCCAACAAAATAAAACTGTAATAAAGCTCCAATGGAAATAAATTCTACTTCTCTCGAACCTCTCCAAAGAGTATCTACTGATATTGTTGGTCCTTTACCCGAATCCGGTTCTGAAAGATATAAATATATAGTTACTTTTCAAGATGATTTGACAAAATGTTCCATGGCCTATCCTATTACTAACTCAACGGCTGAACAAACAGCTCATTGTTTAATTAAATTTATTTGTCACTTCGGCATTCCCAAAACTCTATTATCTGATCAAGGTGTTCATTTCGTTGCAGAAGTATATAAACAAATCACATCTCTATTTAAAATTAAACATCTCTTTTCTACTCCATGTCATCCTCAAACTAATGGGGCTCTTGAATGAAGTCATGTCACTTTAAAAGAATATTTAAAGTCCTATGTCAACGATAATCAAGACGATTGGCACAAATATCTTCCAACAGCTATTATTTCTTACAATTCTTCTGTACATTCTTCTACTAATTTCACACCTCATGAGTTGTTGTTTGGTTGTAAACCTCATCTACCTAGTTCTATCTACGATATTGACCCAACAGCTACCTATCCTGATTATGTTAAAACGCTAAAACAAAAGCTAATCAATACCAGAAATATAGCCAGAGAAAATATCCTCCGTAGTAAAGAAACTTCAAAAAATATTATGATAAAAACACTAGAGACATTTCTTGTAAGGTTGGAGATATAGTGTATGTAAAGCACCATCACAGACTGCGTAAAGCGTTTCTAGTATCTGGAAAGGTCCATATAAAATAATTTAAGTACATAACAATAATAATGTCAATCTTAATCAATCGTAGACATGTTAGATATCCCTTGCAAGATCAAACATGACGACGCCTATAGTAAATAGTCCAGGTCTCTTTTATGATCCGATGGGTGTTTTAAAATATTATAATAATTATTGGAACATAGTAACTTTTTCTGATTTATCCTATGTAAAAACCTCATATAGACACTATTCAAAGAATTTTAGAAACGTGCAAACATATTTGTAATACACACCAATCTACTAAGGTTAAAACTGATTGTTGGAATATTTTAAGTCCTTTGGAAAGCCTACTTATAAAAGAACAGAACAAGTCAAGGAACAGTCCCTATCCCATTTAACTAGTACCGATAATAAAGGCAAAACTAAAAGATCTGCTTGGTTTGGTATAGGTGGACCAATAATAAAACAACTCTTTGGTTCACTTGATGAAGATGACGCTAAGGCCTTTACAGACGCCATTAATGCAGTCCAAGACGATCAAAGACATTTAGCTACAATCATGAAAGAAAATATGCATATCATGACCTCTTTTATTTCATCATTCAATAATACAATTAGTAAACTTAACGAAACCGAATATATTCTAAACAATAACATACAAAATCTTGATAAAATTTTAGACACTGTTTTAACAAACACCAATAAGTTGGAAATCATTATTGTTCATCCTTCTGTACTAAGTCCCATGCGATTGTACAATGAATTGAATTCGAAAAGTAACGATGTTATTTTAAACCTACCTTTACATTTGGTTCCTAGTAACATTCACGCAATTCTAGATGTCGCAGAAATATCTTCTTTCATTAACGACAACAAACTTATTTTTGTAATCAGAATTCCTCTAGTATCCTTTGTAGAATACAACTTGTACCACGTATACTCTTCACCAACTCCTCATGATATCAATAATCCTAATACTTTCGCTTTAATTAATCCAACCGCAAAATTCCTGGCAGTGACACAAGATAAATTAATTTATTCCGTGTTAGAAGACTTAAGTGAGTGCAAAGTGATAAATAACAATTATTATTTGTGCAAATTAGGTAATATATAATCAAGTGTCGGAAATCCAAATTGTGAAGTGACGGTCTTAACCGAACATGTAAAAGGTATCCCAGACTCTTGTAATTTTAAGCTTATTGTAGGTGAAATAGATATATGGCAAAAACTTAAAAATAATAGATGAATATATGTTCAATCTGATATAACAAAAATCTCTATTAATTGTAATGGCATTATAAATGACTATGATATAGTTGGTGCAGGTATTTTAACCCTGCCTAAATACTGCTTACCACAAGCTACTTCAATTCATTCCATCTCAAGAATTTGAAACTAAAATCAATATTCCACATCCTAATTTTAATATTATAGAAGATGATTGCTGCTCTAAAGTTAAATTAAATGATACTTTACCACATCTGAGCTCTATCAAATTAACACATGTGATGAATACTGGTGTCTTGGGTTGGCCAATTGAAACACAGACGCTCCAAGCATTCAGTTGTATTATAATTAGCGAAACTTACAATATTCGAAATGTATATGTCGGAACGGTCAATAGTACGGGAGCTGATTTGACAACGAGGCGCAAGCGGTGAAACGTCATCGCTTCGGCAGAGTCTATATAAGTGTTCGCGCGGGCCGAGCGGCACACACTTACCGATCGAACGCCGCGCGGACAACAAGTCTAGGAACTGCCTTACGACTCGTTGTTTAACCTTTAAAGTTACCTACTTGTTATTAAAGATTATTTGTTTGTACCTACTTTGTTTTCTGCTCGAGAAACACCACACGACCCACACAATATGTATTCGGGAAAAGGCAACCGCCCCGACGTACACCCCTTCTCCGACATCAGAAGTGGGATACACTCGAGCTGAAGAAACTCAAGAAACATCGCAGAATGGAGCCATGACGTCAGGGTGCGATGAGAACTTGCTTCGCACGCTGCTGGCTGCTCAAAATCGGAACATGATATCCCTGATAGAAGCCATCAGGGGCCCGGCTGGTACCAAGCATATTTCTTTGCCTGAATTTGACCCGGAGAAGCCGGATGTAGACGCACGTGCCTGGTGTACTACTGCAGATCTGTGCCTATCAGAAGTACCGCTTCAAGGAAGCGCCCTGATCATCAGCTTAAACAAGGCTTTGAAAGGAAGTGCTTCACGTTGGCTGGCGCAGGTATCGTTTGCGGGTATGACGTGGAGTGACTTCAGAAGCCTGTTTTTGTCCCGTTACGATTGCGTGGACACACCAGCCGCTACTCTTGTCAAAATGACTAGTAGCAAGCCTAAGGAAGGTGAATGCTACGCTGCATACGCCGCCCGGTTGTTGTCTACCTTAACATCACGATGCTTGCTCATGTGGCGCAATTTGATGGGCGTATACAGAGGTTGGCGTTTACTACCGAAGTAAGCAACAGGAACAAGCTGCAGTGTGAACTTCAAGCGTTTTCGTTTTTGAAAAGGAAAACTTCGATGGGAAACTCTACCGAGGCCGCTCCAGATTTCAAGCGAAAGTTTCAGTCGACAACGGTGAAATGTCACAACTGCGGTAAAATAGGTCACCGAGCGTCCGATTGCCGTTCCAGAAGTGAGGTGAAAGGCAAGGCAACCAGTGCTGCCACTTCAGCATCAAGCTCTTCGGGACCGAGGCAGCGTTCGGACATCATCTGTTTCAGATGCGGCAACGCCGGACATTTTGCTACGAAATGTCCACGTGGCAATAGTGGAGGAGCTGGCGTGGCAGGAGGCGCTAGCAGTTCCGGAGCTGTGCCTGCAGCAGCGGCGAGTAACGAGAGGCGTGTGGAAGTTTGCTATGTTAGCAATCCCAGCGTCACGCTGATGAACACAGTGGTGTGCCTAGATCCCGGGTAACGACAGGACAGTTGCAAATTAGGCTTGTAGATCATAGTCGTACAGTTAGTCTTCGTCCTTATAGGCTTAGAGTGAACGCGAAGTTGTTACTGCTAAGGTTCGTGAATTAGAGAAAGCAGGTACTATTAGACCAAATTGTTCACCTTTTTCTAATCCAGTGTTGCTTTGTTAAGAAGGATGGTTCAGATCGCATGTGTGTTGACTACAGGGAGCTGAATGACAACACTGTGTCGGATAGGTTTCCCCTGCCGTTGATAGAGGATCTTGTATCAAGGTTAGGTGACTTATCTCCGCGAGTTCATCGTTGGTGGGCCTATATGCAATCATTTGAGTTTGATATTGTTTATCGTGAAGGCCTGAGGAAGGATGAAGGATGGATGAGCCATGTGGACTTTCTTTCTAGTAATCCTCTCCCGACACCTAAAGGGACCTTCACACGGGTAGAAGAAAGACGTGTCGATTTAGCTGAGACTACTAGTAACTGGTTACAAGCTGAACAGGAAAAGGATAAAGAAATCAGTAAGATTGTGTCTGATCTTCGTAATGAAGTTTTTCCTGAGGACACTCGCAAAACTTACGAAATTCGTAAGAATATTCTGCACCGTAAAGTTCAGCGTAACGGGCGCACTCGTTGTCTGCCTATTGTACCAAGATCTTTTAGGTGGTCTGTAATTAATAACATCCATGAGTCTGTCATGCACTTGGGATGGGAGAAAACTCTCGAAAAGATTTACGAACACTATTGGTTTGAAGGTATGTCAAAATATGTTAGAAAATTCGTATATAATTGTATCACCTGTTAAATAGCTAAGCCCCACTCGGGTAGAGTTCAAGCAGAACTACATCCCATTCCCAAGTTCAATATTCCATGGCACACGATCCATATTGACGCTTCTGGTAAACTGTCTGGCAAAAACGACGTCAAAGAGTAGGTGTTTGTCATCATTGATGCATTTGCCAAGTTTGTTTTGCTCCATCATTCGCTTAATATCTACACTGATAGTAGCATTTGTGCTATTAAGTTCTGTATAGCGTTGTTGGTGGCCGAAACGCGTAATAGCTGGTCAGGGTCGTTGTTTTGCTAGTAAAGAATTTTCTCATTTCTGTACTTCTAACAACATAGAGTTGCACTTGATAGCTACTGGAGGCAGTCGTGCGAACGGTCAGGTTGAAAGGGCAATGAGTACCCTCAAGAGTATGTTGACAACTGTAGAGACTTGTCGTGACCGCTCTTGGCAGGACGCTTTAGGAGAGGTTCAGTTAGCTATTAACTCTACTATAAATAGGGTGACTAAATCTAGCCCACTCGAGTTGATGATAGGAAGGGTAACACGGCCACTTGGATTAGTGACCGCTGATGATGTGAGTGACGTTAATTTAGATGAGATTAGAGAGCAAGCGACACAGAATATTGAGAAAAATGCAAATTATGACAAAAATCGATTTGATCGAAGTAATGCTCAGGTTTCTGTGCTAGCTATTAATGATTATGTTTTGATTGAAAATGAGGAAAGAAACCAGACAAAGTTAGACCCAAAATTTTGAAGTCGTTGAAGTTCTTGATGGTGATCGTTATAAATTCAAGGCCCTTAACTGTAACCGTACCTATAAATACGCTCATAATAAGTTGCGAAAAATGCCGGATAACCAGGACATAACTGACGAGATCGATGTAGAACAAAGTAGTTGAGATATTGAGGAGACTACTTAAGTTTGCGTGATGATTGGACCGTACCAGAGGTTGACGTGTAGCCGTAGCTCAGTAGAAATCGGTTTCTGCTTGATGTAGTCCGTGAGTACGCGGTAAGCAGTCAACTCTGGCGGAGGTCGGGTTTCAGTGGAAACCATGGAGTCCTGGAGAGACTCGGCGTTCCCATGAGGGGTTCGCACAAGGATGAGTAACTGGAGGTTACTGGGCTATGTATAGCAAGATATCACATGCAGAGCTTAAGTATTTCGGTTTACCTAGTTTGATTGATGTCTCTTATGAGACAACGTGAAATCAAGTCAGTTTTGTTTTGAGTGTTTCGATTATTGTTTTTATTATTATTATTTTAAATTTGATAATGAACTCTTTGGTTTAATGTTAAAAGTTTTGCTTTGAACTTCTCTCGATTGATTACTGGTGCGATGTCACGGGAGACTGAGCTATGCGATCCTGCTTGTTGAATGTTGTTTCAGGGTAACACACAGAGACGTGCGTCCCGTAGGATGGCCGTGTCGGAACGGTCAATAGTACGGGAGCTGATTTGACAACGAGGCGTAAGCGGTGAAACGTCATCGCTTCGGCAGAGTCTATATAAGTGTTCGCGCGGGCCGAGCGGCAGACACTTACCGATCGACCGCCGCGCGGACAACAAGTCTAGGAACTGCCTTACGACTCGTTGTTTAACCTTTAAAGTTACCTACTTGTTATTAAAGATTATTTGTTTGTACCTACTTTGTTTTCTGCTCGAGAAACACCACACGACTCACACAATATGTATTCGGGAAAAGGCAACCGCCCCGACGTACACCCCTTCTCCGATATATATAATATTTAGTACATAATGTAAGACGTGTATACATAGGCAAAATAAGTCGTCGAATGTCGGCGCGTAGAGGTGAAGGTGGGGCGATCGCATAACCAGCGAGTAACCGGTTTAAACTCCTTCCGCCGCACCACCATTAAGACACGGCGTGAACATCCTGGGGGCCCTTGAAGACGGAAGTCTTCAACGATTCTGTAGGCTCGTCCAATAAGGGGCAGAGGTATTTCACACCTCGTCGATAGGTGCCAGTGTTAGTAGTAACGTCAGCCACGCGTGAAATCCCGTCTGGTCCAGGAAAAAGTCTTGAAATTCTTGAAAAGTTGGAAATCGTTTGGGGACGAAGAAATAGGACACAAAGGACGACTGTTAAGGATGGCTTCTATTTGATTGAATAAGGTAGCCAATTCCTCGTAAGTTAGGTGACAGTTGCCTAAAATTCTTTTTAAATGATACTTCGCAGACTTAACCCCTAACACGATTAACCCCCCGAAATGGGGAGCGTAGGCTGGTTGAAACTTAAATTTTATCCCTTCCTCTGACGCGAAGGAGGAGATAGAAGTAGAATTTTCGTTTAAAAAGTTACAGATCTCTGTGGCGGCTGCGACAAAATTCCTACCATTATCGCAGAGAATCTCACGTGGCTTTCCGCGTCTAGATATAAAACGACGTAAAGATAATATAAAAGCTTCCTTTGATAGTTGACTTACGGCCTCTAAATGAATACACTTAAACCTAGTGCAAACAAAAATAGCTAAGTAACATTTGTTAATTTTGCAACCTCGTCCCTTCCTATCTGTAATTAAAAACGGTCCAGCAAAATCGACAACGACACTAACAAATGGAAAGTCGGGAGTTACGCGCTCAGAAGGCAACGCTCCGATGAGAGGAGTGAGGGTTCTAGCAGCAGCGCGCCGACACGTCACACACTGCCGAGCAACAGTGCGGGCGAGGTCGTGCCCGCCGACAGTCCACACGTACTCACGCGTGGAACTGAGAAGCAGCAGGGGACCAGCGTGAAAGAGACGCATATGCTCCTGCTGAAAGAGTAGTCTCGTAAGTCTATGTTTAGCGTGCAAAAGCATAGGATGGCGCTTTTCAAAAGAATAATATGATGAGTTGAGGCGGCCACCTACACGCAAAATGCCTTCACTATCTGAAAAGGGATTCAATGATATAAGGGAGTTCTTAGAACTCAATGGTTGTTTATTTACAAGAGTTTTTAATTCAACATGAAAGCTATTAGATTGCGACATTTTAACTAATCGCTTAAAAGAAGATTCGAGTTCCTCAGGCTGCAAAACTCCTATGAGCTTGTTATTTGTATTACGGCAGTTATGTAGGCACCTAAGTACATAAGCAAAAAACCGTTAAATAGTTTTAAGTTTAGAATATTTATCGAAATTAATTAATGTATTATTGGTTTGAGTTTCATTTGTTAACATAACAGTTGTTTTCACTTCCGGAATATCATCAAAATTTAATTTATTAGTATATAATTGTGGCCAATTACATTCAGATTCATGGATGGTCCGTTCCACCACATGTATAATTTATCTAAGTTATGCGCGTCAACATCGCGAGATGCATAGTCCGCAGGGTTGCACGCGGAGGGCACGTGACGCCACACGGAGCCGTCAGTTAATTCCAAAATAGTTGCTACTCTGTTCGAAACAAATGTGTTTAACTTATTATGGCTAGTTTGTAACCACGCTAGTACTATTGAAGAGTCCGCCCAGTAGAAATTACGATTAATTTGGCAGCGCAATGTGCGCACAACGGCTGTCGTTAACTGAGCGCCGAGCACTGCAGCACAGAGCTCTAATCGGGGAATCGTAGTGGGTGCCACCGGACTCACGCGCGCCTTGGCGCACAGGAGCCGGACTGCGATGTCACCGCGATGATTCATAGATTTTAGATAAACACAAGCCGCATAGGCGTTCTTACTACTGTCGCAAAAACAATGCATTTCTATATAGTTAGAGGAATCACATAACACGTGCCGAGGAATTTGTAGTGATTGTAATAAAAATAAACCGTTAACAAATTGTCTCCAAGATGCCTCAATAAAATCGGGCACGGGCTCATCCCAATTAAGTTTAGCTAACCATAATTTTTGAATTAAAATTTTAGGCACTATAGTCAAACAACATAAAATACCCAAAGGGTCAAATATTTTGCATGAGTCCGATAAAATAGATCTTTTGGTAGGGGAAACGTTTTTTGTGTTGTATTGAGTGGGGAAATGCATGACGTCAGCAGCAGACTCCCAGCCTACTCCCAGAGTATGTGAATAGGAACTTAGTATAAGACTACCTTGAGGATCAAGACTTTGACAAGAATTTAAAATTAATTTTGAGTTGGAACGAAACTTACGTAGAGGAAAACAACCGGCTGCCAAAGCCAGCTCGATTGAAATTTTTATTTTTAATAATTCATCCTCCGAGTCCGCCCCTGTCAATAAATCGTCAA